ATCTCCCGTCTTTGAAAAGACCGCCAACTGATGGGTCCTCCTTTTGAGAACGGAGAGCCGGGCGACACAGACTCCTTCTTAATGTGGCCTCCGTGGCACCCCCATTCAGCTTTGATCTGAGCCGCTCCATTTGTTGTGTCTGTGAAAAGGCGCTTTATCGTGCGCGTAACGGACGCGTGTGGCACGTGTAGACGGGATGATCGGCTTTGACAGCCACTGCGCACAATCCGGCCCCCTGCTTTCTTGACTCTCTCTTGACATTGAACCGAGGTGGGTGAGTGTGGTGAGGGTGAAGTATATGCTATGCAAGTCTGTTATCTCTATAAGGTAATTCACGCGTAAGATATCTGTGGCAGGCTCGATCCGTGGGGTACTAGTGGACATCACCGTCCGCGGTGATCAAACAATCGGGCTGTTCGGCTCCACAGCTTTACTGCCGATGATTTCCTCCGGTCCGTGTATAACATGTTCCGCGAGTCACCTTGAACTTCTTGGATTTCACCTGTCGTTAGCAGACGATACAGCGAGAGTTTTCGGACGCTCGTGACTAATCTACTTGCTGGGAGTCACGAATTTCCCTCTTCTCTTCTCTGCTACGAAAACCAAGACAGTCAAGTGTCTCTACGGTGTAGCGTCCTTCAGACAGACCAACGATTAATCACATTTATGCCACACGCAAGCCCTCACGGGCGGAAAGAATGCGAATGACAGACAGGTCGGCTAATTAGCTGCAGTTACTAGTGACTTTGTCCCATCTTCCGCCTCAGCGGCCGCCTTTTTAGTGTTTTCGACTCAGAAGAAACAATATCTAGCCCTCGGTATTATCTCATCGGCTGCATTGGTCATTAACGTCCGTCAGAGAGCACGTCTCACTGCTCGACTGTCCAGTGTAGACAGCATAGCATTGCCGACGAAGACAAGAGAGACTGGAATGGCCATTTCTGGCTTGTTGGCGGCAATCAGCCGCCGTACCCAACCCCGAAGTGTGGAACACCTGGGACTCGGTCCCGCGACTTGTTGCTTAAAAGTTCAATGCTCCGACCGCTGAGCCAACGGTCTCATTGTCCTGTCGGTTGCCGTGGGGTATATTATTGATGGTTCGATGGTTGGGGCTTTGGACTTTTAACCCACACATCGCGTGTTAGAACCTCGGGGGTTGAATACCTCCGGGTTGGATATGGCTAGCTGATGACGGCTGGCAAGTCAAGAAATGGTCGTCCCAGTCTCCCTTGTCTTTGTCAGTAATGGGTTTACGCGTCCCTGTGCGGCTGCTGGCGGAGCTCGAGAGAGAGAGGGGCCCGAAGCACAATGCGGCGAGTGAGTTTCGTAACGCGATCGATGCACGTCCCCCTACCCTAAGGTTCAATGTATTCGAATATTGTCACTGGACTACTGAAATATAACCACACCCCTTCCCTAGATCCTATAAAGACGGCAACTGCCAATGCCACGCTAGCGTCATTATCCAGTTCTGGGTCTGATGTGGTTATGTGGCCCCACCTGAGGTAAACAACCTCAGCCACCTGTAATAGCGGACTGTTGAAAACAGAGGTTTTTATAGTTGGGGCCGGGGAACGCACAGGCGACGAGGTCAAGTAGTCGAGTGCAAAAGGAAAGCTACTGGGAATGCGCGGTTGTACTTTGGGCGGTTGCGAAACAGTTGCCCTAACCCCTAACCCTAACACAAGCCCCTAAATCTAACTTCTCACCCTAACGTCTAACCCTAAACCCCAGCCTCTGACCCCAAACCCAACAGCATTGTGTACGTCTGGCGGAGCTACATAACCACATCTTACCCATTGGCAGTTTATAACGTCTGCGAGAACGCTACCAACAGAACCAGGTCCTCAGTAGCGTCATCGCATATAACAGCGCATATTGATACACTTTGCATTTTATCCTTACTCATGAGTAGTTCGAGCATTGAACGATACAACCATACGTCACTATGAATACATTTTAAACCATTTCAAAAGAAGTGACTTCCCTGCATGTTGCCACATAAAGCGACCATGGTTTCTTTTTTCGTCTTTATGACGCACGCTGACGCCAACCGAATAAGTACTGTGAGTCTGCTTTCGAATCTATCATTTCACCGGTTGAATAACCGAACGTCGGCTGAACTACTATAACTCAAGTAAATGGACTCGACGGACATGCCAGAAGTACCAGTTCCGAGGTCATTAACCACGTTGGGGGAGGACGGTTATATTTAAGTTTGAGGCAATGCTTTATCTGGACAACGGACTGCTCGGCGCGTCCATGAAGTGAAACGGTCTTCAGCGAATGTTAGCTGCAAAATTAGTGGACCCACGTGTCTGACGAATGAGCAGTCACGGACCAGCAGCGAAATTGGTAACAGGATGCGGAGAGCTTGTAGCGTCCAGGCGGTGTGAGTGTGGGCAGTCTGAACAATACAATAATCAGGGCAAATCCTAATGCTGTAGGGAGAAGACGGAAGGCACCAAAATGGGGGTTTATTGTGCACAGAACCTGGAGTTGTCCTCTCAGGCGGCAGTGGCCACTTGCAAAGCCAGGGCTGGTGTTGACTGCGTCCAGTCAGGCCTAAGAGTCCCTGAGATAGTGGTGGCAGTCGCTCGTGGGCCAAGCCGAAGTGGTGGCCAGTCAGTGTGTGTTGCACTTGACGAGGGGTGGTGTCCCAGTGGCTTAGGTTTCCGTTGCAGGGGGGGAGGTGCATTCAAGTGGCCGCATGGGCAGCTGCGGCTGTGCGGATGCAGGTATGTCCGAGCTGTCGGTCGTGTGACTTCAGGTCAGCGAGTCTGGAACGGCTCAAAGCAAAAGGGTGGATGACCTTGAGGCAGCGAGGTCTTGGACAATGACGCCAGATCGGTCATAATGACTGCTCGTTACAAGCTGAGCTCTGGCATGTCAGCTGCCGCAAAGCTCGAGGACGGCCCTGGGACATTGCGACCGCGAATCCCTATCAACGAGATTTGCTTGCCACCGTTGCCTTGCTTTTCGGTGTTTGAGCCAAAGCGCTGTAGAAGACAACCCCGAGTAAACACTCCGAGCGGCTGTTGAAGACCCGCCTATATTCCAAATCACCAGGAAACCTCAGTACATTTCCGATTCCATACCCTCGTTACATCACGAGACCGGTGTACCGCCTGCGTCTACTACGCAGTACATCCTCCTCCTATCCCCCGTCCTCCTCCCCATCCTTTGGTGGAGATTGTGTGGTTTGCGATTAATAAGTAATCATGGGAACAGTGTACACGACTGCTATTCCAACCCTGCTTGATCGCAAGTCACTTTCATGTTGCCACCTTTGGCTAAATTGTCACAGTACGCCATGGAACTGTGATCAGAATTCAGTCACTTTCTATCTGCGCTGACCGAAGTCCCCTTCCGTCGGAACCCTGCCTTCAGCTGCGCC